GTGGTATTAGTGTTTAATAAAAAATATAAATAAATATTTTTAGCCCCTGTAAGGTAGCTTATCTGCCGTTCTTGTGGAGAATAACCTTAGGTCAAAATATCCGGGTATCAAAAACGATAACAATGTTGGTAGAAAAAAAGTAACTTTTAAAAGTAAAAGAAAGTAACTTTCCTCTTTCTAAAAATAAACTTTAGATTTTGAGAATTGCTTTAGATTGCTTTAGAAAGTTTAGTTGTCATTATTTTTAATAGAAAAACAACCATGACATTGCTTAGTAAACATAAACATTCTTTGTTTAATTTTTTTTAAATTCCCGTTTTCATTCTGCAGATTATGTAACCTACCGATGCTTTTATGTGAATTATTTTTTCATACCAACTAGAGCTTTTAGCAATCTAACGACCCTGTTATATGGAAGTTACTTGTGATCGTAATTATGCATCAATATCTAGATTCTATTCAAATATAAATTTTATAATTTTTGCTTATAATTGATTATTTTTTAAATTTATTATGAACAGGATTTTGCTTTTACATTAAACATTACATTAATAATTTCTTAATTACATTAATAATTTCTCTATGTTACAATCATAATCATCCTCATTATCAGTGCTACAACCCATGAAGGGCTCTGGCCTCCTTCATGATTTTTTTTTTTTTTGCCATTCCACACGACTAGTTGCCCCTTATTTCCAGTTAGTAACACTGAGTGTCTTCAAGTCTATGTCGAGATCATGTCACGTCTATGTCGATGATTATTAGTTAGTGTCATCCTCGACTTGATCTCGACATCTAATTCTGCTGCCTGATGGCTAAGTGACTAGCGCTCTGGCCTTTGGTATCAAAGACTTCAGATTCAAATCCTGGCGATGGTATGGCTGTTTGTTGGTGGTTCGGAATCCACATTAAACTGTAGGTCCTGGTCTAATTAGCCTAAAGTGTGCACAAAATGACCGTGCTGTGGCAAACTAAACCTGTCAAACGAAACCCCATCTAATTCATGGTCTTGTTCTGTGTCTAGATTGTCTGGGGTTTTTCTTAAGGAGTTTTCTATGTTACAATGTTTCATGAAAAAAAATTCTTTTTTTTTGGGAACTGGCAATTTTGGCAAGCATGTAAAAGATATATCGATTTATACTTCCATAAGAGTTCATTCTAAGTTTATTGACAATATAATTTTTTTATTGGCAATATAATTTTTTATACCAATTTCTGCCTAATATCTAGTCAAACTTATCTGAGTGTGTCTAAAACATATTGTGATTTTTATTTATCCTGAGGTTGAATATGTATACACTTGCCAGAAAAAGTCTGCGTACAAGCACATAGCAAATATTTAAGAACGAACAAAAATTATATTTTGAAAATGATAATAATTTCATATTGTATTTATTTTATTCCTTACACAATTCATTAACTTTTTATAATAATTTATGAAATATAACATACGTTGTGTTTAAGAAATAACAATTGAAATAAAAAATAACACAAATTGCTACCAGTAAAAGTTTGCGTACAAAAATAAATATAATGAAATGTGCAAATCAAACTTCAATTAACTTTAACCTTGCTCAGTTTTATTAGATAGTAGTTAAAATATTATCTTTTCAAGATTTGTGGCAAGTAAATCACAATGGATTTAAAAGGAAAGGAGATTACTCCTGAAGAAAGAAAGATCATCATAAAACTTAGGAATGAAGGCAAAACTCTTCGGGAAATTGGCAAGATTGTTGAAAGAACTCATTCCTCTATCCAAAGAGTGATCAATAATTACACTTCATCGAAATCTATAATCTCAAAGCCACGTTCTGGATGTCCATCTAAGCTGACTGCCCGTGAAAAGAGATATGTATTCAAGTCCGTACGTTTAAATCCACGTATAAGTGCCTTTCAGATTGCGAATGACGTTAGAGAGAGATTTAAAAAAACACTCCATGAAGACACCATAAGAAAAATTTTGAAAAAGGCTGGGTCTCATGGCCGTGTTGCTCGCAGGAAGCCACACATATCAGCTGTGAATAGACAAAAGCGTTTACATTTTGCAAATGAGTATGTAAATAAGTCTCCACAATTTTGGGAAAAAGTACTATTCTCTGATGAGAGCAAGTTTCGCATATTTGGCATAAAAGGACGTAAGCTGGTGTGGAGAAAACAAGGTACGGCTTTTGAGAAGCAGAATCTTGTGCCTGCAGTTAAGCATGGTGGAGGTGGTATAATGCTCTGGGGGTGCATGGCTGCCAACGGCGTAGGTCGTCTAACCTTTATAGAGTCGACATTAAACCATATGGGATATATCAACATTTTAAAAGAAAATTTGAAACAGAGCGCACAGGACTTGAACCTAGAAGATGGCTTTTGGTTTCAACAGGACAATGATCCGAAGCACACTGCCCTTAATGTTAAGCTCTGGCTTCTGTACAATATCAAAAATCAATTGCATTATCCTCCACAATCGCCGGACTTAAGCCCCATTGAGCATTTATGGGACTTGTTGGAGCGAAAAATTCGACAGCACAAGCTTACCTCAAGAGAAATGTTAAAGAGAGTGATAATCACAGAATGGAATAGCATTTCTTCGGAGGAGACCTCCAAACTCGTCCATTCTATGCCCAAACGATTAGCAGAGGCTCTCGGACGTAAGGGTCATCCAGCCACCTATTAAAGTTTAGTTGAGAGCCGACGGAAAGTATTTTCGAATGCTTTTTTTTCATCTGTACGCAGACTTTTTCTGGCAGCTATTTCTAATATTCCTTATTTTAATTGTTCTCTTTTAAACACAAATTGTGTTGTATTTCTTTAATTGTTATTAAATGCTAATGAATTGTGTAAAGAATAAATTAAATACAATATAAAATTAATATCATTATTAAAACATTTTTTTTCAATTTTGAATATGTTCTATGTGCTTGTACGCAGACTTTTTCTCGCAAGTGTACATTTACAGGGAAATATTTTGACGGCAGATTTAACACAAATACAAAATTAATTATTAACTTCATATGTAAAACCAAGTGATTTTTACCATTTTCATTATAAATTTGTTTCTGTTAGCAAAGGTTTTTATTATATTTTTAAAATATTCTATGAAAGTTTTAACCCGTCAAATATCAAATTAATGAACTGTAAAAACAAAAATACAAAAGAAAAAATGATTAAAATATTTATATTTGTTTGTATTTAAACCCTACTACCTGTCTGAAAAAGACCTGTCTAACCTGATAGTTATATTTGATTATATTTAGAGTTTACTATCTGTATGAAAAATAATATTGAATTGTTTGATTAAATTCTGAGTGACAATTTATTTATGTGATAAAATATAAAAAATATACAGTAATTTTCCAAACTGAAAATAAATTTCTTAAAATAATAATTAGAGAACAACTTATTAGCAAGTTCTCAAATATATTGCATAATTAATAATGCTATAAAAAACGTTTTTATTAAAGCTAAAATGTTTTAAGCAAACCCACTGATATTAAAAACCTAGAATTTTTTTTATTATTAAATTTAATTTAAATTTATAGCATGCAAAAGTACGTCTGCAAATAAAAATCAAAATGCTCTCGAAAATAATTTGCCGACGATTTAGAACGCCAAAAGATTCTAAACACGTGTTCCGAAAGAACCCTTTCCCCCCCTTTGACCCCAAAGCAAACGAAACAACAATAGAATTAACCCCTTTCCCTCGGAGCTAAATTGTTGGCGCGCTGATTTCATCATCCATGAAAATAGAATCTCCTGTTTCTCTGGGGGTTCGTAATTTCTCCTTAATTGCTACACAATCGATGGGGATATTTCCGGGGTGAACAGGAAATAAACTCATTTTGAGGTGGGGTGACCTCGTTCTTCTCCCCTATTATGGAAAAGGGGGGAGATAATTACTTGACAGGGCCCCTTTATCGAGAAAGGGGTGGGGAATCGAAATTGTAGTGCACGGAGTAATCGGTTTTTAATGCAAAGGTGTAATAAGGGATCGAGGTTTTTAATTTTGTATTGTGTAGGATTCAGATTTTTTTTCCTTCACATTTTTAATGCTTATTTTATTGTGTTTTTTTCATCTATCGTGTTTTTTCCAAGCTTATTTAATGGCAGTTAATTTTTTAAATAACCTAAAATTTTTTTTAAATTTTAACATATCCTTTTTGATTTTTGTAATAGAAAGATAGGTTTAGATTTTTTAAATTTGGATTTAAAAAAAATAAAGTAAATGATTCCAAAAGTTTAAAAACAAAACCCCGAAATTTTAGCTATGCAAAACAGAACATTCGAAACAATAAAAAGTTCCTTACTGATTAAAATCCACTAAATATTTATCTTCCCTATAAAAAAAAAAAACAATGAAAATTCTTTTTTACTTAGATTAGTAAAGGAGTTTCTAAGACTTTCCTAAAATCCAGGATCATATGACTCTGAAATAAGGGAGAGAAAGAAATAATATAAACTCTTAACAACAAATAAAAGCTGTTAACTCATTAAATGATATAGTTTTTTTTTTGCCCATTAATGAATTTTTCATCCCACTTTCTAACATTAAGATAAAGAACAATGACAGTAATCCTTTTTAATACGGGGAATTAGCAGTTACTTTATTCTTAGGATTCCCAACTAAAGATTTCGGAAATTCTTTCCTGTTAAAAGCGAGCATTATTTTTCTACACAGTAAGGTCTAACAAATGGGCCTGAATGGCCGAGTGGCTAGCGCTCTGGCTCTCGGTACCACAGGTTTCGGGTTCGAGTCCCAGCGGTGCCATGGACGTTTGTAGTGATTCGGAATCCACTTTAAACCGTAGGTCCTTGTCTAATAGGATCGTAGAGCGTTGCGGGGGCATTGTTACACAACGTCCGTGGCTTATCTTCAAGTTACACGCGCCCCCTGAGTAATGCAAAGTGAGTAACGTCTGTGCAGCGCTTGCCTTAAGGCATCCAAGACCAAGTTGTCTAAGTGTTTGACAGCTGCATTAGCAAGAAAAAAGGTCTGACAAAAGTCTCCCACTGCCATACCATGCAGAATATACCGATTCTCGCTCGATCACCGAAGTCAAGCATCATCGAGATCGGTCAATACTTAGGGAGGGTGACCACCTGGGAACACAGCGTGCAGTTGGCATTCAAAATTTGGGGCCGAGAGGCGAGCGCTGTGGCACCGGTTTCGGGTTCGAATTCCGAAGCTGCCATGGATGTTTGTAGTGGTTCGGAATCCACTTTAAACCGTAAGTCCTGATCTAATATGATCATAGAGCGTTGTCTTGAGTTTTAGTCAGTCCTCGCTATGTGTAGGCTTTCCTGCACCAGGGGGATTAGTAACAATAACATAAAGTCTGACTTGATGTATAAATTTAACTTGAGAAGATGCTTTGAGATGTATGCTGTTTGATGCTGTTTATCACAATTTATCCAAATGTTGTTAAAATACTAGAGATAAAAGAATTTGACAATGAGGAAAATTAAATGTTTATAAAAGAACTACTCTAAAAATCGAAATTCTTGATTTAATTGCCTATGACGGATTGCATATAAGTTTTATATTGACTTGACTTTGTGACTTATGTTTGCTTTATCTCAATTTATCCAATTGCTCTAAGGTCCTGATCTAATATGATCGTAGAGCGTTGCCTTGAGTTTTAGTCAGTCTTCGTTAGCCCTCGTGGTTCTTCGCTAGATGTAAGCTTTCCCGCATCAGGCGGATTAGTAACAACATAAAGTCTGACAGTAGATAATTTTTCTTAGTCATACAGATGAGATTTATAACATCTTCTTCGCTTACATCTTTGACTAAAACTATTTGAATTAATATTGGAAAATATATAATTATAAAAAATATGTTATGTATTAAGTTATCTGCACTTATGTCTTTCAACCAATTTTTAACTAAGAAATAATGATAAACGACACATTCTTTTCTACGATCTAAAAAATAAATTTCATCAATACTCTATTTATAAAATAGTATTCCTATTCTGAGGTAAACAAAGCTTCGCAAAAGTTCTCTATTTACTAAGATTTCAAAAACTACCCTCTGAATTCCGCACTTTCAAGTGCGAATAAAATAGTACAGATGTGGATTGCGAGTGGATGAAAAAGCACACTGAGAGGGTGAAAGGTCATACCTGGATGGATTAATGAACTTTGAATCACGACAAAGGAGATTTTGGCTGCTGTTGAAGTGCTGAAAAATCAGAAACTTCCAAGTATGGATGAAATAGCCACAAATGTGGGTTTCACGAAAAGACGTGCACCGTGTAGATGAGGCATGCTTTGTGGATGAATAGGTACACTGGGTAGTTGAAGACGAACATGAAGTGGATGGAGACGGAGGCACACTGAATTGATGAAAAGGCACACCGAGGGGATTAAGAGGCACACGTTAATCAAAAACGTTGAGTTACGACAACGTTGATTATGGTTGTTGTTGAAGTATTGAAAAATCAGAAATTTTCAAGTAGGGAGGAAATATCCAAAATGTGGGTTTCTAGTAGATGAAGACGTGCTCCGAGTGGATGAGGCACACCTTATGGATGAACAGGTACACTGAGTAGATGAAGACGTACAATTAAGTGAAGATGTATATGAAGTGGATGATGAGGCATACTGAGTAGATGACGAGGCAAACCAAGTGAATGAAAAGGTATACCCAGGAAATGATGAAGTATACTGAGAATATGAAAAAGTATACTGAGAGTATGAAAAAGTATACTGAATGGATGAAGAGGTACATCGAGAGCTGTCTGATGGTTGGACAGTCAACCAAAAGAATATTTCTCTAGACATGGGACACTTTACCAGTAAAAGTAACAGAACTTACCCTGAGATCAAGTAAGGCTGTGTGGAAAAAGGATTACATAAATCTCACCTACTCAATAAATTAATTTTAAAAACAATTTTCTTAAAGTTTTCCATTTGACTGGCGCTTGTATTTTTCCATAGAACCAACAAATATGATTTATAAATTCCCCTCTTCATTATTTGGGGGACAAAGGTATTTTGAATGGCACTAAAAAAACGACGAAAATCCCATAAACAAACAAAACCCTTCAAGTATCGAATGACCCGCACATTTACAGGTCATTACTCGATCTCTTCTGACATCAAGAGAGAAAAAAAAAAAAAAAAAAAAAAAAAAAAAAAAAAGAACGACAATGATTCTTTTCAACGACCCAAAGAATTAGCCAACATTCTATTTTTAGTATCACAACCACGAAAGCTTCTTGGAAAGCCATTTCTGATTAAAGCCCACTGAATATTTATCTGCTCTGTAAAAAAAGAAGGGAAAAAAAATAGAAGGCAGAGTGTTTTTTCTTGGTCTTGCGAATGGGATTCATAAATTTCCCCTTCCACCCACATCCAGAAGTAAGGAAGGGCAGTAATCGAAGGGAACTAACCTACCCAAATGTTAACAAATGATTCTGGTCACGTGATGCCCCTTCCAAGTCCATTAGGGGATACGAAAAAGGTAGGAGAAACGAAAGAATAGAGATATGAGCCGGTTGGAGGGCGAAGTGGTGTAAGTCAGAAGTCGATTTCTAAGTCACCGTAGGACGTCAACAGACCATTTACTATTGGATATGAAATATTGATTAGAAACACAATTTATTAACCTTAATTGGGTATAAATTGTGTTTCTTAATAAATATATTTTTAAACAAAATTTATACCCCATTAAGGTTAATAAATTTTAACAAAAGGATTACTAGTCAAGTTGTTGTTTTTTCTGGTTATATTTAAAGATATAGGGTCAGATGAGATAAATGTAAATAAATTTCCTTTTTTTTTGTTTACATTTTTTAAACAAACAAAATGTGAAAAAAATTCTTTATCAAATTATTAATTTGATAAATATTTTCAATTTTCAAAATCTTTATCTAATTATAATCACTTTCCTAGTTAATTTACCAACTTTGCCTATCATTTCATTATCAATTAATCTATTACTTTTTTTTCGGGGCCTGATGGCCGAAAGACTAGCTCTCTGGCGCCACAGCTTTCGGGTTCGAGTCCCGACGGTGCCGTGGATGTTTGTAGTGGTTCGGAATAAACGTTCGGACCTCTAAACAGTAGGTTCCAGTCTAATAGGATCGTAGAGCTTTGCGAGGGTAGTGTATTCACGTCCGTAGCTTATCTTCGAGCTACACATGATTTCTAGGTAGTGCTAAATGAGTAACATCGGTGCAGCCCTTGCTTATGGCATGACAACTGTCTAAATATTTGCCAGCTGCATTAGAAAAAAAAATAGATCTACATTTTAATGGCGAAAAACCTCACATTAAAACACCCAAAAAATAAGAAAAATCTGCAATGTAAAAAATAGATTAAAAAAAGCTGCTGCAAATCTTTCCTTGATTACTTCAAAGAAGCACGCTCGATTTTACAAGTAAGCAAAGTTTACATCAAGTTAATTCCTATAATGAAATATGTTTGAAGTATCAAATGCATATATATGCAAATCGTAAGGCCAACCATGAGTTTGTTGCGCCAATGAAGAAGAAGAATGTTTATAAGAAACGAATGATTACTATTAATGCACTCATTTGGATATATTTCTTTAAAAGACTCTTTCTGAATCTTATAGTATCTAAATTACATCGATGCTATGAAGTCTATAGAATATTATTTTCATTATTCATTCAACATTATATTTACTTGTTATAAATTCCTGTTGATATAACTGGACACATTCCTGTGCGTTCCTTCGCCTACTTTCTGTATTTCTATTTACTTTTTTCCCGTCTACTCTCTACTCAGCTTTTTATTATATATATTTCACATTTTGCAATAATTGCTAGGAAAGTTCTCAGTTCAAGAGTCACCTATTCAATCAGAAAAAATGCTTTTATTTTGATGGCTGTATTGAGGTGAAAGCGGAACGTGGACTTAGATTTGCATTCATAAAAATTAAGGAAAAAGTCTTATATAATCTTATTATTTTGGTGTAGTACTTACAACATTACTTAATTATTACAACATTACTTAATTAACATACAACATTACATTTACTTAACAACAGACATAGAATATATTTTGTGTATCAGATACGTCGATGATTTTTTATTACCTGTTTTAAAAAAGAAGAATTTTTTTTTTATTTGAAAAAAAATGTACTAAAATTTGTTGCATATATTTGACAATTCATGAAGACAGTTTATTTATTCTTCTTTGTATTATGGATATCAGATCAAAAAACAAATTAAAATTCTTATCAACTTCATTTTATTTAATTTGAAATTTATTTTCTAAAAATATTTTATTTAATATATACACACATTATTTTAATTAAAAAGAAAAAAGAGGTTATTGAAATTGATTTCCATCAGTTTTATTTAAAAAGGATTTAATTTTATTGAAAACAAAAATTGTATCACATTCACTAGTATTTTCTAAATAATTTATTAAAAAATTTAACTTATTCGATTTTTTGACAATTACTATTGTAGTTTTTGAAACATTAATTATACAATAACAGCCACGTGTTTCTATAAAGAAAAATTTTGGCCCAATGTTTTCAATCCATTAATTCATCTATAAAATATATTCCATGTTTAATTTGATATCAGAGTAAACTGGAAAAATTACGATTTGGAATAAAAGGATTTCCGAATTCTTCCAAGATGTCACTTCAGAAATAATGTAACGGGATTATAATAAATATGAAGAAAATGGCATACACTGAATATATAAAATCCTTTAATTCATCCCTTACCTGAACTGTCATTGCAAATATACATGGATATTATTTTATTTATTTATAATTGTCCTAATTTTTTTCTAATTCATTAAATTTCTAGCAATATAAAAATCACAATCAAAATTTATTTCTTCATTCAAAAAAAAAATTCTCATTGTAGAATTTAGCTGTTATGAATTCAGGATTACTAAAAAATTGAATCTTGAATTTCCCCCTTTAACCTTAAAACTTTTAAAATTTGAATAATAATTTCTCTTACATACATCTATGGAGCTCTGAATACGCAAGCTTTGGACAAAGCTCAAACTGCTCAAAAACTGCACTATTCAGAGCTCAATAAAATAACAAATTTTTAAAAGTTAAGGGGTTTAAAAGAAATGAATAATTTTATTACTTACTTTGTGATATCATTCTTGATTACTC